CCCCAAAACCCCAAAACCCCAAAACCCCAAAACCCCAAAACCCCAAAACCCCACTGTCTAGAATAGTGGTTGAAATTAAGAACTGTAAGAACTTTGTTAGTTTTCTTGCTTGTAGAACAGAATGTATGCGTTTGAAGTTTTCACTTCCTTGTTTGGGATTTTTGTAACTTGGCAGTCGTTGAAGTGGTACCAGGAGGAACCTCTTTTGCAGATGGCTGTGTAGTGGCCGGAATTGAGGCTTCCGAAGTGAAGGATGCAGCTGTGAAGAGAGAAGGTGATGGGGTTGTTATCTGAAGATTGAACGGTGAATTTTTTAGGGAGATCCATCATAGCAGTAATTTTCTTATTCGTAGAAGTATCTAATCTCTGGAAGGCAAAAATAAGGTACTTGGGGTGTCGAATTATTTTCTTAACAATTTTGCAATCCTTTATTCCATTGCAGGCTTTACACATCATCTGAGAGTGATCAACTTTAGGTTCTTTGATGAAAGATCTAAAGCTTTTCTTTTGTTTCTTGGAATAGCATTCTAATGGATAACTCTTAAATTCTTCGTATACTTCAACTCCTTCATTTCAATCTTTGCACTTAAAAGTTGTTTTATACATCCCTACGAACAACTTATCAATGATAGAAGTGTTCTCGGCCTTATACTTTTCCCAGGCCTCATTATCATCATTGTGACCAGAAGATCAAAATGTTTGGCATTTGGGATTATTCTCGTATTGGAGTAATTCGAACAAGCTCATAAGAAATTGTAAAGAGTCATTCTGCTCGTGAGAAGGATACTCCCCATCAAATAGTGCTCTGAATCTTTCATTATTTACAGGCCCTGGTTGGTGAGAGAAATATTTAATCATAAGTTGTCTTAATCTTGATGAGTATCTTTTGTCATTTCCTTCAACTTCATCAAAATAAGTATTTAATTTCAAATCATCTCCAATAATATTGACATTATTGCCATAAAAATATTCTACAAATCCTGGAATTGAAAGCAGAACCTGAAGTGTGGAATTGATGAATCAATCGAATCTTGGATTTATTATACCTTTATTCCCATATTCTTCCTTTCCTCTAAAAATAGTGAACTAATGTTCTTACTCTTCTGAAAATTTCCTTTCTCCTTCTGTACCAACTGTGCTTTCTAATTCCTTTCTATTATACATGCCTCCCAACTCGGATACGCTATCTTGACCCTCCTATAAATAAACTCTGAACCCTACAAAACTATCATCTGAAAATTCCCATTGAATCTTAGAGTCGTCTTTGCCAGAGTCTTCTTCTTGGCTACTACTATTAACACTTCTATGTATTTTCGGAAAATGGTCTAATATATCTCATTTTTTCTTATTTTTTCTATTTTGATTTCTTACTTTATGACTCCTACAATCTTGTAATCTTTCGCCCCAGAAGCATCATGACATTCCCATATTCTTTAAAACAGTTTATTATTAAAGATGATTTCAATTTTAGCTATTAAATGGGGTTTTGGGGTTTTGGGGTTTTGGGGTTTTGGGG